AACCAATGCAACTCAATTGATTGAGATCTTTATGAAAATGATAAGAATTCATTTATTATGATTTGAATATCTATGAAAGATGACTATGATTCATTAATTATGATCAATACTTTACATTAGGAGACAATCTAAACTTTTATTAAATCACATATTCATCAAATTAATTGGACGGTTGAGATTGAGTTGTATTGGTTGTACAAATGCAAAAGATTGCATAATTTGCGAGAAAACTAAAAACAATTTATACCGTATAATCCATTGAAAATAACATAAAAAGGGAAAATAATTCTAGAAATTATGATAAGTATCATTTTGATTTGACTCAAATATTCTCTTAAGAACATAATTGTAACAAAAACAGTATTTGAGTCACTTAAGAATCTTATTATATTTTTTAATTTTAATCAATTCATAATATTTGTATCAAGTTTTATATAATTTTTTTAACTATTTTTAGACACATTTTTGATGAGATTTCTTTTACAAATTTTGAAAAATATCACAGTGATATACACAATTAATCCATTAAACTGATCACCATTTTTTCTCTGTTATATATCACATATCATTCACTTTGTGACTTTTGTACATATTACATGATATAATATGCATGTGAATATAAGTTAAGTATTATCACATGTGATAATATGTGCATCACAAGAAAATCTATAAATGTAAATATATATAATCACATATGATTAACAAAAATATCTACAATTATTACATGTGATTAATAAGTTCATCGAACAAATTATCATGAGTTAAAAAAAGACTTATAATCAAACGGTTACAGATTTTTTTTCAAGTTTTATATTTCATATTTCCGTGATTCATGTTTCATATTTTCGTGTTTCATGTTACATGGTTTGTGTTTCATGTCTTCAAATCTCAAGTTTCGTTGACATTTAGATTTAAAAAAAAAGCTAAATCATATTTTAAAAAAATTACCACATTGATTGTGCCGAAGAGTGTTGTGGGGCTAGAGAAGTGGGCCGAAATATGCCAATAACTGGGTTGTCCAAGTTGACCCATAGAAGGTGGTGGCGCGAGAAGCTATGGTTGCTGGGACGTAGGCGGCATCATGAACTGAGGTGAACTGAAAGTAGGCGCTGACACAAAGGAGTTGGCGGCGGTTGTCCGTGTGGGACCGAACCGTGACCGATTCCGGTGTTGCTAAAGTATGCTTGACCATTACCCAAAATACCTGCATATTGTGGTTGGCTTGGATAAGAATTGCCTGCAAACGGATTAGTAGTAACGGAAACACTAGAATTACCTCCCCCCTTAGAAGCACCCTCTCCATTGTTTGTTTCGATTTCACTTATTTTTCACTTTTCTGGGATTATGGGAAGAAGAGTATAGGGTAGCAGTGGTGGAAGTTAAGAGTCTGTAGTGGGCTCAATGGTTTCTTACCGAGATTCATCAACTATACTATGATAAGAAGGTGGTAATTGGCGTAAGATTTGCATGACTAATTCACATCTTTTATGGGTGAATCAACATCAGACAGAGCATCGGCGAGATTTTTAAGAGAATGACAAAACTCGGTAATAGATAAAGAACCTTTCTTGGTATTTCGAAATTGATCTTGAAGTTGGACATCTTATTATTCAAAAATAATTCAATCCAGTTTATCCCAAAGATCTTTTGCGGTGCAATCATCACTAGAAATTATTTGAAGAAGATTTGGATCACATGTGGAATAAAACCATGATTTGACACGGGAGTCGATGGATTTTCAATCTTCATCGTAATCACCGGATGGTTTTGATGTACCATTAATGTGACCAAGAACCTTAGCACCTTTACACATGTCTAGAAAGATACGACGTCAAGTTTCATACGTGTAGCCGTCAAGAGTAAGCTTAAAACTGAATTGGGAATAAACATTGGTTAAGGCATAAACTAGTTGTTGGGTTGTATGTGCAACGGTGGAAGAAGGTGTAGGGTTAGTCATGATGTGGGAAGTAGAGGAAAAAAAGAGAAAAATAAGTGAAGTAGAAAGTAGAAACTGAGGCCAGAAGTGCTTACCGCGATAGAAGGATTGTAGCGTACGAACTACACTTTCCCATGTGTAACAAAGATGGCTGGCAGCAGAATTCTTCTGTTCGATAGAGACTGTACGACCTCCGGACCTCTAATCGACAATCTAATCGGTGAAAACGTAGATCCAAATGGTACAGACCTACTGTCCAAAACTCAAAATGATCCGACCGTTCAATCTCTGGTAATAGGCAAAACGACGTGACTGCGCGTTGCCTGAATATGGTCTGCCGAATTCCTTTTGTTCTATAGAGACTGTATGACCTCCGGATCTCTAATCGACGATCTAACTGGTGAAAACGTAGATCTATATGTTACGGACTTACTGTCCAAAATAAGACGATCCGACCGTTCAATCTCTAGGAATAGGAAAAACGACGCGACTGCGTGTTGCCCGAATATGCTACCGGGAAAAAAAAAACTTATGAAAAACCTCAAAGGCGGAAGCTCGATACCATGTTGGAATATGTGGAAATCCCGTTAGGGTTTGCATATCATTGCTTAGTATATATATAATACAACGTTACAAAGGGATCCCTATACTATACAGATATAACAAATAAAGGATATAAAAATACATGTTAACAGTAGAGAATTAAAAGTCAAAATCTCTAAAAACTTAACATTCAACTCTTAACAAATCTGCAATTTCAACTTCAGTTATATTATTTATTTATTTTAGAAAATTTTCAATTTCAAAACTATATTATTATAATATTTTATAATTTATTATTTTAATATGTTTAAAAAACTTTATATAAAAAAACAATAAAATTAATGAAAATATTAAAGTAATATTCATCTTTCTTCACTAAAGAATGCTCCATTTTTAATTATAGGAGAGAAATGGCAACATGGGGAGGAAGATACATGCCACGGAGGTGGTTCCAGTTTTAGTTTTAAACATAATTCATTTTAGGGTTACATGAGATTGCTTATAAAAATAACTTATTGATTTATTTTGATTTGGTATCGGTAATAAGCATTTTTGAGTGTTTGAATAAACACCGGTGCTAAACCGATAATAAGAAGTTTTTGAAGAAGTTAAACCCTCCTGACTTATAATAAGTAGATAAGTGTTTTTTTATAGAAAAACATAAGTTGTTTCAAATAAGCAATCCCAAACACCCCTTAACTTCTTTAAAAACTTCTTATTACCGGTATAAGTTGTTTATCCAAACATTGAAAAGTGCTTAGTGCGTGTGCCGGAATAAGTCAATAAGTTATTTTTATAAGCAATCTCAAACACCCCCTTACATACATGTACATGTACTTCAATAAAAAAAAAACTGAAAAACTACGAAAATGCCCTCAGAGGTAACATGACTGATTTAACCGTCATTTTGCTCAAGTACCAAATCTAAAGAAGATTAGAATCAAACGAAGGAATTTGCAATACTTAAATTGTAGGGATGAAATCCAATGATTTCAACAAATTGTAGGGACTAAAAATATAATTTAAGTCAAAAGGTTTATGAAACATGTAGAAGATAGAATAGAATGCATAGGTTATCAATTCTGCCCCTCCTCTCTCTCTCTTTTATCATAACTATCGTCCCTCAGCAATCGGCTATTGTCATCCTCCCTCATCGGCTAATGAGGTGCGTCTTCTTGTTTGCTTTCGGATATAATAATATAAAATACACAACCCAGATATAACCTGCCAGATTACGTTACTAAAACAACAGTGGTCGGTGGTAGTTCAGATCGATGGTGGTCCACGGTAGTTCAGATCGGTAGTGGTTCGCAGTGGTTCAGATGGCGGTGGTCCGCAGTGGTTCAGATCGATGGTGGCCCGCAGTGGTTCAGATGGACAGTGGTTCAAATCGGCGGTGGTTCAGATCGGTAGTTGTTCAAATTGTTGATGGTCGACAGTGATTCAGATCGGTGGTCGGTGGTCGACAGTGGTTCAGATCAATGGTGGTCTGTGGTGCTTTAGGTGACGGTTGTCGGATGTGGTTCAGATCGGTGGTGGTTCATATTGGCCATGGTTCAGATCGGGGTGATTCAGATTGGCGATGGTTCAAATTGGGGTGATTCAGATCAGTGATGGATCAGATCAGTGGTTGTTCAGGACGGTGATGGTTGGCGGTGGTTCAAGTCGGTGGTAGCCGACAATGATTCAGATCGGTAGTAGTTGGCGGTGGTTTAGATCGATAGTGGTCCGTTGTGGTTTAGATGCCGATGGTCGACAGTGGTTCAGATTGGTGGTGATCCATGGTGGTTCAGATGATGGTGATCGACAGTGGTTCATATCGGTGGTAGTCGGTCGTGGTTTAAATGATGATTGTTGGTGGTGATTCAGATCGACGGTAGTCGACAATGATCATATTGGGTTTTATAAGATTAGGGTATATTGGGTTAAGGACATATTTGGTATTATGAAAATAGAGAATTTTATTCAATCAAAATATCATGTAGTTGATAAGGATTGTTAAATTTCTTTATTCGTGGAATTTGTATGATTTTAAAGATTACTTTCGTGAAGAAAAAAATGGACCAAATGAAGGAATGAAATTTGATCAATGGAATTCATCATTCCAATTTCATCAGATTCCTTCAGAATCTGCAAACCAAACACCACCTAAATGATTGTATCCAACAAAACAATACAATTACATCCTTTAGAAACGTAATTTATTTTCTTGTAACAGAACCATGCCAAAGTATCCTTCAATATCCTTGTCACCATAAACTTAATCCTTGTCTAACTTCATGCATTTGCAAGTGAATTTTCAATTTAGCATCGAAATGTCATCTATTATCAACATCGAAATGTGATGACAAAAGGATGCAGGGGGTTTGAATGACATAGAGTTTGAGAACAGTAAAATTTATATAAACGTAGATAACTAATTTTTAAAATTTTGATGGTTTATTTATTAAAAAAATAGTATAAGGTTTTTAACTTTTACTCTTTTGAATTTGTTTATTAAAAACCCCATTTTCCCATGAAATTGATGTAATCGTCTTCTCATGTACACTACCAAAATTATTTTTGTATACGAACAAGACAATGATTTTAGAAATGTAGATGAAACTATCCCCAAACCCTAGTCTTTAGATTTAACTCAATTGAAGCTTGCCATCATCATCCATGGCGATTTAGCTACCTAATTTCTATATTTTCATCCAAATTACTATTCGACACCCATACGATTAGTCAAAGCGCTGCTGATAGCACCTTCACCCTGCAAACACTGCCCATTTTTCTCCATCCCAGACATGTAATGCCTCACTTCGTTTTTAATCATTTCCTGCATCACCGCCATTAATTCCGGGTTGAAGAACCCATAATTCGCACCATCACTTTGCGGTGGTTGTGGCAACTTCACTTTCAGTTCGGATCTGGATTCCAGATCAGATCCGGATCCGGATCCAGATCCGGGTAAGGATAAGCTCAAAGAAGTCGGTGGATCGTTCAAAACCGGAGGGGGAGTTGACGCTCCATTTCTCTGACTCGAATCGCTCAAGTCAGACCCGGTCGGGCTGTTGGGGTTCAGATAAAACCTGGAGCCGGTGGTATCCGGTCCGACACTAGCAGACCGTTTTAAAGCCGGTTGATAATTCACCAGATCTTGGCCATCAAGGAACGAAAAATCATCGTTAGACATCGACGAGCACTTACGCTTGAGCGTTGAATTCCAGTGGTTTTTAATGGCGTTATCCGTCCGGCCGTTAAGCAGGCGGGCGATGGTGGCCCACTTGTTCCCGAATCTCGCGTGTGCCTTGATGATCTTCTCATCCTCATCCGCCGTAAACGCACGATGCTCCACCTGCGGCGAAAGCTGGTTGCACCACCGCAGACGGCAGGATTTACCAGATCGACCAGGAATTGACTTGCTGATGACCGACCAGTTTCGAGCACCATGTTTATGGACAAGCGCCTGCAACAACTCGTCTTCCTCGGGGCTCCATGGACCCTTGATCCGATCCATATCCTTCTTAGCCACCGCCATTGATACAAACCCGTCTAGAAATCGAAAACCCTAAATCCTGTAGATTTCATCGGCAAAACCTTTTGGGTTTCGGTAAATAAACAAAGGTTAAATTTTATTTAAATTTGTGAAATCGAAAGGGGGAAGAGTAGGGATTTTATATGGGGGAGGAAGGGGAGAAGATAAAGATGAAGGGATAACCGGAAAGACAGTTATGAGTGTACAACTGGCAAGGGACACGTGTCAAATTGTAAGTGCATAATGGCTGTAGACCTGCATGAAATCAAAACCATCAATAAAAATAATCAATTTATATATTATTAATAAAGGGAAATTTATAAAAATAATCGGTTTACACAACTCTTTGTCACAAAATAACCATATTTTAGATGTTTTACCGGAATGACCACCCGGATCTCCCCCGGGGGCGATCCGTACACTATGGGGGCGATCCCACTATTAAGTCTAAAAAAAATTTCTCAAAAGTCGAGATTACTGTTCATTCTCGTTGACCGTGTTTGACCTCGCCCCCAGGGCGATCCGGGTAAAAAAAAATTTTGATTTTTTTTCTAATACCAGTTTCACTATAAATACCAACCTCCTATTTCATAATTTTTCAGATCTTCTCTTCCATTTCTCTTCTCATATATTTTACTCTTACAACCCTTAACTCATTAAACACAATAAATCATCACAACCTTTAACCCACTAATTGTTAATTAAAAAACACAAAATGACAAAATATAGGTCAAATTTCGTCAATCAGATATTATATCTGATTTACGAAACCCAAAACAGATAAAAATAATTTTTGCTTCTCCATAATTATAAAAGTTTATTTTTAAACTTTTACCCATGAAATTTGGTTCTAAAAAAGTTAAAAAATACAACTTCAATGGCGTATCAGTTTTATTAAAAATACCAACAAAAAAAAAAATACAACAATTATCATTCGGTTATTTTATAACGAAAAACCGTGAAATATAAAATTAAATACGTAAAAAGACACACTTTATGTATTTTTCCATTTTTATTAAAAACACCCCTTAATTGTTAATTAAAAACACAAAATGACAAAATAGAGGTCAAATTTAATCAATCAGATATTATATTTGATTTACGAAACTTAAAGCAAATAAAAATAATTTTTGCTTCTCCATAATTATAAAGATTTATTTTTAAACCTTTACCCATGAAATTTGGTTCTAAAAATATTAAAAAATACAACTTCAATGACGTATCAGTTTTATTAAAAATACCAAAAAAAAACCCGGATCTCCCCGGATCGCCCGCCATACAGTACGGATCGCCCCGGGGGCGAGGTCAAACACGGTCAACGAGAATGAACAGTAATCTCGACTTTTGAGGAATTTTTTTAGACTTAATGGTGGGATCGCCCCCATAGTGTACGGATCGCCCCGGGGGCGATCTGTGTGGTTATTCCGGTAAAACCTCTAAGATGTGGTTATTTTGTGGCAAAGAATTATGTAAACCGGTTATTTTTATAAATTTCTCTATAATAAAAACCCAACTAACATATATTATAATAAAATTCTAAATTAATATTTTAAATAATAAATATATTTATTAAATAAATATTATTTGATAACAATATTCAAATCACCGACCATTTGGAGGTTAATATAACCTAAAAAAGAAATTGTACGGTATAGCATGGGAGTATGCCAGGCTGGATATTATTTATGATTTTTTAAATGTAAAACATTTATATGTAATAAATTGAAATTTAATGGATGATAATAGAGGTGTTAAAAATTGATAAATAAAAAAATTCTAAAAATAAATGAAAGGTGAATATTTAGTTTGTGATTTAAATTAAAGGGTGTGATGATAATGTGGGGAAGAGGACAAAATAGTGTAAGGAAGAGAGTTGAAGGTGTGAGTACAGGCTGTATAGTATAGGGCATAGGGTGCCCCACACGGTAACGGCCCTTGTCACGACCTCCACGTGCTAGACGCACGTGTCCAGTTATTTAAAAAAAAGGTTTTCTATTTTATCAGTACCTGCCCCAAATAAATAAATAAATAAATAAATAAATAAAAATCCCATTTAAATTTAAAATTGAAGCTGCCCAACCAACCCCACTTTCATTGTTTCTCCGTACCTTCCTCTAACCAACCCCCAACACCCAAACTCGTTTCCTTTTTATTTAAATATAATTAATAATGTATATTATATTACAAAATATTATGCAATTGCAATACCTTTGACTTTCTTGTTGCTATCTGTAAAGCAGGTGGTCATTTTGGAATTAGTTGGTTCGTATAACGAGTTGGATATCTAGGTTAATTAAAAAAAACTTCTGTTTGATTTTGTAAAAAACATAACATATCCCCAAAAACCAATGTTTGGAAATTAGAGAAACAAAATAAAGTATCATTTGTTTGGTTTGTAGAATTGTTTTTGAGTGATTTGGATTTTATGGAAAGATTTGAATTGGAATGAATTTGAAATTATTGGTGTGTTTGGTTTATAGGATTTTGAATGGAATTGGATTTCATTATTTATAAAATAATTTATGAAAAAATTAAAAGTAATTATAAAAATAATTGAGTTACATTTTTATTAATCGATAATATTTTTTAAAACCTTATTGCATACAATCCTACGAAATCTCGAGCACTACCTAAGGATTTCAAAATCTTATGTTTGAAGGATTTCAATTAGATCTTGAGATGTCAAATCTGGACAATCCAACAAACCAAATATGAGATTTGAATGGATTTGAAATGCAAATCCCTCCAAATTCATTTCATTACTTCAACGACGTAAGGATAATGGTAAGTAAAAATCTAGACAATACTGAATAGAAATGGTCATAAATCGGTCCCAAATAATCTCTAAGAATTATAAGAATTTTGACTTTATAAAGTAAATGAATTTTTATTTGATAAGAAAAGTGAAGATTTCTAACAATAATATGCTATAAATTAATGATCAAGCATCAGGGTAATCTTTTTTTCAAAGTTTCTAAATTCCGATTTGAGCTTGACAGGATTCAGATCATTCTTGATAGAGATCCTGATAATGTGGTCCTCAGAAAGAACACCGTAAATATTTATCTGCCAACAATAGTTCATATTTGTTTGGTTTGAGGGTATATGAAGATTTTGGTGTTTTAAGTTTTTTAGAAATAAAATAATAAATAAAATATATAAACTCCACATAAAAATGCTTTTACACCCCTTTACTTTATTCGTTTGTAAAGTGACCCCTCTAACTTCGTAACTACTTTCATCAAAATAAAGCAAAAGCTTGTTAATTAATGTTCCTACTTTTTTTTCCCAACAATACACCTTTTCCACTTACGTTGTATATCTTCACATCACTTGTTTGTTGCTAACAAATTTTGTGTATATGATAGTGTTTGTGCTAGTTGCTACTAGAATGGTCAAAAATCGATTTTAGTTGGTCCTAAACTGCTTCTTTAAAATCGGGCTGGTCGGTTCATCGAAAATCCTAAAACTGGTCCTAAATCCAGTAGGCAGTGGCTGGTACTGGTTTTGCTATAATTCGTGTTTTCACTTATTTTCGCTCTCTTAATCTCGTATTTGTGTTTTTACTTCTTTGCAAATGACATCCAACAATTCTGGTGCTTCATCCGGACCCGATCTCGTTGTCAAATTCGTCGCCAGGCATGGTCGTTCAGAACAAGTTTAACAAAACAAAAGTTTTAGGGGTTGTTTGTCAGTTGCTGAATGGTTTGGTGCAGAATGATTAAGTGGTCAGAATGATTAAGAGACTTTCATGATATAGTCGAAATGAAATATAATTGTTTGGTAATTGGTTACAATAAAATCAGGATACTTAATGGTTAAGGGAGGCTCATGATACAAAATCATTCAGAGGCTTTTAGAACTATTAAGAGACATAATTTTTTTTTTGTCAAACAAGATTCACCTCTTAATGATTCAGATGTTGCCTCTTAATGGAACTATTAAGAGGTAAACAAACAACCCCTTAATGTATTTCGTAGTCGAGTTCAAAATCCAAAGCTGTAGAAATTTAAAAAAAAGTTGGTAAAAATTGAAACGTTTGCAAAAAACAGGTCATACAGTATGTTCGGTTTAAACACCTATTATAAACCAATTAATGCAGAGACCAGGACCAGATTGACCCATATGATCGAGTTTGATAAGTCATGTTATCTGCAAACAACTGTATGCAACATGAATGTAATTCAATTCTACCCATGGATATAAATTTCATTGTGTTAAAAAATGTTTAAATGATGTAAAACTCCTTTTCATACATTAAATAATAAGGGGTCGTTTACCAAACGCTTACTCGGGTAAGTAAACACCAAGTCACAGTACTTTACAGGATGAATATGGTAAGGACCAAAAATCTTACCCGGTAAAAGCGAGACAAGGAACAAGAGTCTTACTTGGTAAGTGAGGGCGATGACTCGTCCCACGGTAAGCGCTTACCAGGTAAATTGTTTCATACGATACCGTTTTGGTGGACTAAAATCTTACCCGGTAAGTCAATGATAGCGTTAAATTTTGTCGGTAAGCGCTTACCGGGTAAATTATTTCATACGATACCGTTTTGGTGAACTAAAATCATACCCGGTAAGTCAATGATAATGTTAAATTTTGTCGGTAAACGCTTATCGGGTAAGTGTTTGGTAAACGACCCCTAAATAATTTTACATACAATAACAGGTCAATATCCATCCAACAACCTAAAGGTACATACTTAGCAGTCACAACTCACAACTGGCATATGTTCATTTTTACAGTATCTCTGACAGCTTCTTTAAAATGAGGAAAATAAGGATTTTGAATTAACATTTTGCTACAATAGTTTTCATAAAATTATCTCTAAAATAGACAAAGTAGGAGAGAGAGTTTTTTCCCAAAATATGGAGATCACCTCAAAAATGATTATCGAGTGAGAACATCAATAGAAAACTTTAAAATAAATATTTGAAGAAAGAAATAATATTTTAATAAATAAATGAAATATTTTAATATTTAATAAATGTTGGATTCTCCAAAATTGAGAATCTCTTGGTGATAGAATATAATTTTTTTAAGACTTTGACTTTTGATTCTTTATTTTAAAGAAATGTCGAAGAATCTATTGAAGATGCTCTTATAATATCTTAACTAATTTTTCAAAATAGAGAAATGAAAAGTCAAAATCTTCAAAAAGATTTATCTTCATCTCCAACATTCTTTATTTTGAAGATCATATAATTTCTTATATTATTAAAATATTCAAATACAGTTTTCTAAAATATTATTTCTCTCTCTTAAATATTTAATTTTAAATAATCTCATTTGGTAGAATGAATAAAAAATTATTATCTTTCATAAATAATTATTTTTGAGAGAAATCTTTATTTGAATCATACTTTTTTCATGGTTTGTGGAGAATCAGTTGGAGTAAAAAAAAACCCTTGTAATTAATGCATATCTTTAAATTTAAAAAATAAAATAAGATTTAAATCAAAAGACAATACCATTTGTTTTGTTTATAATTTCTCCAATTAAAATTTAGAATCTTTAAAATTAATATTACATTTAATTTTAACAAAAAAAATTATTTTACAAACTCTTTAATAATTATACTTATTAAAATATTTAATATATGTTTTAAACAATCTTTTTATGCTATAAGTTATATTAGACAAACTGACTGATAAGCTAACTGATCAGATAATTATGTTTGACAAAAACTGTCTGAAAAAATAGTTAAAACATGTAAAATGTCAAAAAAAACATGTTAAAAAATTGGTTAATTCTAATATTGTATAATATAATTAAAATAGATTACTAATAATATATTATGTTAATTAATATAAACCAGATAGTAAAAAGTAATCTAAACTTGTGTAACCAAATACGAATTTTAAAAAAATTATATTAATTAGTGATTTTAAATTTTGAATAAAAACAAAATTTATCAATTGTATGTATTTTAATTGGTTGAAAATTTTTAAAAATATAATATTAAAACCATTTGTTAAAATATTATTATGTAAAAAAATAAAAAGTATATAACTTATAAAAATTCTATAGAGATGCTCTATATTGACCATGTTTTCATACCCTCTACGTGTTAAACAACATAATACAAAATTACGAGAAAATGAAATTAATGCATTTATGTGTGTAATAAAGGATAGACATAAATTAATTACTGTAAATGTAAAAAGTGGGTTTTTATTACTGATGATGTGTTTGAATAAAAAATTAGTAGGTATAAATACATTTAACAATTAATATATATATATATATATAGAGAGAGAGAGGGAGAGAGAGAGAGAGAGAGAGAGAAAAAAAAACGATCAAATACAAACCACTCAATTTGTACAAACTGTGCAAAACCACCTTCATCTGTCGATTTTATTGTTTAATCTTATGAAATTTTTTCATAAATTGTTTAATCTTGTGAAGTTGTTTCATGTAATACTTTTTTTTTTGATAAAATTGTTTCATATATGGTTATGAAATTGTTCATATAATACTTAATAACATTTTAATGAAACTGTTTCATGTATTTCTTTAAAATTAAAATAATGAAAATGATAATATTCATGATTAACACCTTTCACAATAAAAATTATTAATCAACCTCTCATAATTACTAAAAAATGAACACAATGAAAAATTATGATTGGTTGAATAAGGTTTGCACGGTTTATACAAATTAGGTGGTTTGTATTTGATTGCTATATATATATATATATATAACATTTTTGTAGAAATGATTATTATATTATTGTATTTTTATATTTTTTCAATTAACATGTTAATAAAAAAAACAAATTGTAAAGAAGAATGTTTCGAAATTTCAACCGATAGTACTTTTTATTTTCAATTCATGTGAAAGTTCATCCTCAATTGAATTAGTATGAAAGTTCATTGTCGACGTCGAGGGATAAACTTTCGCACCCAGACATGTTTTCCGTTGATGGTAAATTTTGCCTTCCTTGCACCACCAAGAATGAGATGAATATAGGAAGGATGATTGAGTACGATCTTAGCAAACAAAGCGTTTTCGCCAGCACTGACTTCCTGCATATAAAACGACTCAATGCACTCACCAAAAACTCCAGAGAGAAACTCCCGCACTTCCTGTTCACACACAGGATACCCTCTCGAAAAGGTTACAAACAAAGTCCTATTGTCTGGTTGGACCTCTGCAGTTTGTGGTGGAACCACCGGCTCATGTGTAGCCATCCTCTGAAGAAATTTCATGTGGACATTTCTTGTTATGGCTCCATCCCAAATGTCCTTGAGACAATTTGCACAAACACCGTTTATCACTTCATTGATCCCAAAAATGGAAATCTCGCGAAACTTACGAAATAACTCAATTGGTAAATCTTTCTTGAGGAGCATATTGGTTAAGGGGAAATACAGGACCGAAGAGGGGCACAACAAACTTGTGTTATCAAGGCATGCCCAACACAGCAAGGCTTCACTTCCGATTTTGTCGATCCATTGAGCAGGGAGATTCAAGATCCTTCGAGTCAAGTCAGGAAACCCGATGCCCACCCTCTCCAACCAAATCCAAATGGCCATCATCTGTATCGCTTCAATGGGATCACGCCAAAGATCGAATACGAGAGTTGCATATAGTTTCCTATCAACCGCGTGATAGTCATTGAATTCTGCTTGAGTTATCCGTAGACGCTTGAAATCATCGATCCACATGATCACCAAAAGATCTATTAGGTGTTGATACCTATAATTAAACAAGAAATTAAATAAAAAAATACACGACTAATATATCTAAAAAAACACAGATAAAAAGGCACAAAAATGCATACCTCTTTACGATCGTGGTTTATTTTGTGGAAGAGAATTTATCGCAAACTACTTGTAAATGCTAAGGTGATAAGAAATAAGACCAAGAAGTAAATAATGTTTGTTGAGCGTATTAAATTAAATGCAATATAAGGTAATATTTTATAGTATCGTTTTTCTATATCTATATTATATTATAAAACATTTGACAAAAACTCTTAAAAACAATCTTTTATACATGAAGTATTGCTTATTGATACATATTACTTAAAATTCAAGATTACAAGTAAACTATGCATAATTACAACTTATTAAGCTTTATATTTGAATTCGTGTAACAAACTGTAGATAAATATAATCAAATTCATGATAAAATTCTCATTTTAAATATATCAAAAATATAATTAGAATAATTATTGACTTCTAACAGAATAATTAGTTATTATCTTTATAATATTATTAAATAAAAAACATATTACTTCCTCGTTAATCTTAAATAAAATTATAATATTAAAATTGAATTAAATAAATTACACAAAAAAATGAGAACCTTTATATTTTTTTAATTTTTATAATATTTTCAAATTTATATTAAAAAAACATTATTGCTTCCTCAAAACCACATAAATTCATATTATAATATTGTCATAGACCAAAAGAGAATAAAACGAAACAAAAACCTGAGATATGTCTTGCTGCATTGCACAAGTAATTTTCTAGTTTCTTTACGGTGCGTTTGGTGCGCAGACAAGACATGACAGGACATGACAGAACAGGACAGGACAGGACATGACAGAACATGAAAGGACAAGACATGACAGCTGTTCAGCGTTTGGTAAGACATAATAGGACAAGACATAACTGGTTAAAATGACCAATTTACCCTCAGTGGGATGTTTAGTGTTTTTTCACTAAATAATAGATATAAATGTTTACAAATACTATTTAAAAATACCAAAAAAATTCCAAAATCAATCTTAATTAAAAACTTACATTCATAAATCAAAAGATTTAAAGAGGTATCATTTTATAAGTTTAATGTACAAATTTTACAGCTTCACGACCCATCTCACGATCTCTTGATTTTAAATCAAATCATTTTTAATTTTTGAATTATACTTTATACACTTATAACTGGTTATGTAATTTAATTTATATCACTTACTTTTTCATTTTTATTTTACACCTTTATCATATTAACATAAATAATCTTAATGAACAAAAATACATTAAAAATACGTTTCTTTTCTTATAAATTATACCATTATAATCGTCTCGTCAATACATTCAAAATGAGGTTAATATTGAATATTTTTTTATTTAATCGTACTTTTAAATATTATGAATAACTATGAATTAATTTATTTTATATTCTTACGTTTTATTTATAAATCTTTAGCATTTAAAAATAAATAATCATAGATTAACTCAAATACATTTAAAACACGTTTCTTTTTTTTATATTATAAACTATACCATTATAATTTTTTCAGTCAATATCTTTAAAATAAACTCATTATTGAATATTTTTCTAAATTTAACAATATTATAAAACAACATAAATATGTACCATAAAATATGAGTCAACATTAAGACTTAGGAAAACTAACACCACCACCTGTTTATACGTAGAGATTACAAAGGAACCAACTACTTTATAAAACATTAAGACTTAGGGGCTGTTTACCCGATAAGTGCTTACTGATATGAGTCAACACTATAATTTATTTTGATGCGAAAGTTTTTAGTACATCAAAACGTATCGAATGCAACAATTTACCGGGTAAGCGCTTACCTAAGTAAGAGTCGTCATCTTCACCTACCGGATAAGACTCTCCAACATTCTTATTGCTCTTACCCGATAAGATTCTTGGCCCTTGTCATGTTTATCCGTTGAGAAATTTTATCCAGTAAGCACTTACCAAGTAAGCGTTTAGTAAACGACCCGTTACTCTATAAAACATATTAAAATACTTTAAGCACAAAAACTTAAATACATATTTTATCCTCAACAATGTTTAGTTATTAATTATCAAATACATTGACAAATATAACAAAACGAATTAATATATTGGGTATTAAATATGATATAAAAATATAAAATCTTTAGCAAAATTTATTTATCATATTTTACAAAAATAAATTAATAATATTATAATTTAAAATATCAAAATTCTAATATTAACAATTTTTATTTATAAATATACTCACCATTTTATTCATGTAAAAAGTTGATTACCTATTATTTCAATCGGTTTTAAAAGGAATCTGTTTCATGACATTAATGTGAAAGGATATTTTTTTGACTCGGCGTTTGAACCTAGCCAGGGGGATCGAACCCGATACTTGTCTTGTATTTAGCCAAAATCGCAATACCCGTTTACCAACTGAGCTACACGCCAAAGACCATATCATTCTTTTAGAGTTTTTCAACAAATTATTCAAAATTTGTCTAAATTAGAGAATAAAATTTTTCAAAATTTCCCAAAAAAATAGTCACATTCACCTCTAACCGTTTATCCATTTTTTGAATTACAATTTACAAAATTAATTATCTATATTATATTATAAAGCATTTGACAAAAACTCTTAAAAACCATTTTTTATGCATGAAGTAAACTGTGCGTAAGTGCAACTTATTAAAACTTCATGTTTGAATTTGTGTAACTAACTTCAAATAAACATAATCAAATAGAGGATAATCATTTCATTTTAAATATAAAAAAACTAAAATATAATTACGATAACCATTGAGTTTTAACAAAATACTTAATTATTATATTTATACAAATTTATATTATTAAACCAAAAATTAAAAAAATGAATTAAAGAAATACACAAAAAAAAATAAAATTAAGTAGTTAGTTTTATACTAATATCAATATTTTTTTATGAGATCTTCATATTTATATTTTATTCAAATTTCTAAAAACCACATAAAACCGTATTATAACATCGACTAATACAAAAAAAAAAAAAAACGAAACACTAAAATCGAGATGTATCTCGCTACATTGTGCGAGTACCCTTATAATATTATTAAAATATTCATACATTCAATAAAATATTACTTATCTATCATAAGCATTGAATTTTAATCTTTTATTATTGGTGATGAAATAACAAAAAATAAATTCTCTCTCATAATCAGTTTTGAAGAATTTCATCTCTACATTTTAAAGAAAGTTTTTAAAAAATTATTAAAATTTTATTTTTTGCTAAAAATCCTTAAACTTTTCATTTTAAAGAACTTGTTAAACATCCTTTCAGAACCAACCTATTTGATTTTTACCCGAAAGAGTTAGGAGCTGTTTGTATACCTCCTAATAATTCCATTAAAAAATACTCTCTGAATCATTAAAAGTTGAATCTTGTTTGACAAAAAAATCTGTTTCTTAATGGTTCTAAAACCCTATAAATGATTTTGTATTTAGTGTCTTCTTTAACCATTCAACGCTCTAATTTCATTGTAAACAATTATATATCGTTTTTCACTATATCTGAGAGTTTTTTAATCATTCTGATCACTTAATCACTATAACTAGGCCATTCAACAACTGTCAAATAGCACTTAGTCATAAAAAATCAATTTAGACGAGTAAGATTGATTATAATTATTGTTTGACGACTAAAAATCTTTGAAATTTTATATCTCATTTATTTACTTCTGATAATATTATATGAATACAAATGAAATTATTTAACCGATAGAAATAAATAGCTAGAAAAAAATTATCTATATATATATATATATATATATATATATATATAAAGGGAGTTTACTTTGCATACCATATTATTTATATAAATCATACAAATCTCATTCAACTAATCATAATTTTTCATTTTGTTCATTTTTTTTTGTAATTATGAGAGGTTGATTTTAATAATTTTTATTGTGGAGAGTGTTACTCATGGATATATTATCATCTTCATTATATTAATTTTGTAAAAATAAATTAAACAGTTTCATTAAAATTTCATAACCATATATAAAACAACTTTATCAAAAAATTATTATATGAAACAATTTCATGAAAAAATTTCATAAAATTAAACAATTAAATCGCCGGATAAGGGTGGTTTACACGGTTTGTACAAATAATGGTGGGTTGCATTTAATCATTATATATATATATATATATATAGTGAGAGAGAGAGAGAGTCTGGTTCAAATGTTAACCTAGTTTATTATGTTAATTTTGTTAACTATTTTCAACCAATGACAATCCATCTTATATATAGGTTCATATTCATCTTATAAATTTAATAACAAGGGTAAACATATATATTTTTCTTTTTTATGTAACTCCTATATCATTATTTGGTTGTTACAAAATCAAAGAATCTCATGATTTTTGTTAATTTATTATTGATCTTGTTTTTTTTTATAATATTGATTTTTCTATATATAATTTTTTAAATTTGTGATTGGTAGATGAGACTCGGTAGTAAAGTTTTCAGTATTGTTCAAGCTATTATGGATAAATCTATTGTTTATAATGAAGGGACTATTGTTCACAAGTTGTTCAAATTGTGTTCATATGTACACTAGCTGCATATCTCAACATTGGCTTGCTCCTGAATGTGTTCATAATGAATGAACTATTGTTCACAAGTTGTTCATATGTACACTAGCTGCATATCTCAACATTGGCTCGTAGCTGCATATCTCAACATTGGCTTGCTCCTGAATGTGTTCATAATGAAAAAACTATTGTTCACAAGTATTCATATTGTGTTCATATGTACAGTAGCTGCATATCTTAACATTGTTCGCTCCTAAATGTGTTCATAATGAAGGAACTATTGTTCACAAGCTGGTCATATTGTGTTCATACCTGTTTTTTTATTTATTTCCTTTCGTGTAGCAGTTATTCTTATTATGTTCATAAATGTTATGTAGT